TAGGGTTTAGGGTTTAGGGTTTCGCGTTTAGGGTTTAGGGTTTGGGGTTTAGGGTTTAGGGTTTAGGGTTTAGGGTTTAGGTTTTACTAGGTTTTGTACGGGTGTATAGGGGTCGATAAGGGCTTTCACGCACGGGCTCACAGGCTAGCATAGGCGTTTACGGGGCTTTGTGGGGTTGTATGGGGGGGGCTCATCGGGTTTTTGTGGAACTTGGCACTTTGTAGGGGTGCACGGGGCTTTCTAGGGGTTTGCAGGAGTAGGGTGTCATGGAGTTTTATAGGGCTTGTAGGGTTTGATAGGGGCTACAGGATTTTGTGCGGATCCTAAACGGGTTCCATAAGGGTTCTACAGAAGGTTCTACAGGGGTTTGTAAGCAGGGTTGTGAATATTGTGGATAGGCCGGGGGTTCATACAGTATCAACCCCAGAAGGCTGGAACAGTATCAAGGACGACCTTATACGTTATCTTACATAAAGCCCCTGGGCAACCCTTTTAGAACCGCGTAAGCTCCGATAAGGCCCTATCGAACTCTAAGCACCCCTACACAATGCTGCAAGCCCAAAACAAAGATTGAATCCTATAAACCCCCCACCAAAACCCGATAAAACCCTAAACCCTAAACCCTAAACCCTAAACCCTAACGCCCTGCCAAAACCCTATAAGCCCCTACCGCTAATGGACCCCTTGTCGGAACCTTGAGCCCTCGAACCTGACTGTGCGTCTGACAACCCCTAAATCCCGAGTTCGATGTTCCCGACACCCACATCTTCTATGCGTCTCAACAGGGTTTAGGGTTTAGGGTTTAGGGTTTAGGGTTTAGGGTTTAGGGTTTAGGGTTCATCAATAGCTGCAGAGCCCTTTCATGATCAAAGCCTCCCCGCTAACTAGGCTAAGTAGGTAGAATCAAAGTCCAAGGGATAAGAGCCATCAAAAAGAGGGAGATTATTGATCGCGGGCCTGCCATCGCTTGAAAAGACCTGAACCCAGAGCTGCAACCCGGAACTGTAAGCTCAAACACACTACTGAAACATCCTCGCAGAGTGCTCATGGAACCTTTGTCAAAGAATCTTTTTGGAACCCGCATGACACATTTCCCTCGGGACAGCCATCAACAAGAAAACCTGCAGAGGACCCATGTGCAACCCGTCTGAAGCCCATGTACCTCATGAAAAACCTCCGGAAGAAGTTCAAGAATCTCACACACCAAAAGAACATCTGCGTATGAAAAAGCTTCTACAGCCCTCCCCAACACCCTGAACCTTGTACTAAACCCTAATCCCCAAATCCTCAACCTAAACCCTGAACCTTAAAGCTTAAACGGAAGCCCTCCCCAAGCCCTAAATCCTACACCCTACGCCCTCGGCAAAATAGAATGATGGAGCCTTCCAGCAACTCTTGCTCTCCGCAAGGCGGCGCTGGTAGTCCAGCACGTCCTCTGCATTGCGCTCTAAAAAAGACTTTAGGGGCCTCGTTGTCGAGTCTTACGGTTTTATACCCTAAACCCTAGGGCCAAGGGCTTCCAGGTCAGGGTTCATGTCGGGGGCTTGATAACTAGAATAGGCTTTTTGTGGTTCCTTACTATAATTATAGTATACCATACCCCAAAGCCCTATTCTAATTATTCAGGCCCCTATAGTATGGTTTTGCAACTTGCCGGCTGGGCGATTTATGGGTTTGGAATTCAGTTTGGAGGCCAGGCTTTAGTATACAGCTAGCCCCAAAACCCGTAAACCCCTAAACCTTTCAAAAACACCCTAAACCCTAAACCCCTAAACCCTAAACCCCTAAACCCTAAACCCTAAACCCCTGAACCCTTGTAAACACCCCGTAAACCCGAATGACTTAGCACCCGCGATCCTTTAAGTAAGGGATACGAAATAGTCAGTGGACTTTGCCGGACGCTTTTGGGATTGAAGTACACGGGGACCTCAGAACCGGAGAAAGCATTCAAGCAGCAGTGACAAGACCTACGTGAGGCGCCGAGGGACCAGCATGGGCCTCCGGGGTACACTATGGGGTTTGGGGTTTAGGGCTTAGGGGTTTGGGGTTTAGGGGTTTATAAACTGCAACCCTTGAAGCCCGCAACCAATGTAGGGGCCTTAAGAATTAGAATAGGGTTCCTCTTAAAGGGGTTCTATAAGGGTTACATAGGGGCCTTAATGACCAGAATAGGGTTTTGAGGTATACGCTACTATAGTTATAAGAAGGAGCCCCCAAAATAGTATAGGTAATTATTACGGCCCCCATATTACTGAGGCAGTCCTCGCTTAACCCACCGATGATGCCATCCAGGCCAGCCACCAGGGAGGACAAGGCCGCGTCTTTATCCTCATCTGTGGACCACAGCCCTTGCGAGGCATTTCGAAGGCCGTAGTAGAGTGCCTGCACCAGCGATGCACACTGAACTCAGGATGCAGAGTCCAGGTCGAATCGTATGTTTCGTAATTTTCCTTAGTGCTACTACTGTTGTTCTTGTTGGTGCCATGCTTACTATTAATAATATCGTTATTCTCATAGGTAACTTTGTTTTGTTTGTTATTAGTGTTACTATTGCGATTACCGTCATAGGTATCGTTGTTGTTGTTGTTGTTGTTGTTGTTGTTGTTGTTGTTGTTGTTATTGTTGTCGTTGCTGTTGTGGTGGCCGTTGCTGTTGTTGTTGCTGCTGCTGCTGCTGTTGTCTTTGTTGTTTTTGTTGCTGCTGCTGTTGCTGTTGATTCTGTTGTTGTTCTTCTGTTAGTGTTACTATTGTTGTGCTTGCTCTTGCTATGGTTATTGCTCTTGTTCTTGATATTCTTCTTGTGCGTGTTCTCGTTTTTGTTATTCTTCTTGCTCTTGGTCTGGTTCTTGTTCTTGTTATTGTTATT